AACAACTTTGGGGGTACAAAGTTAAAGAGAAATTATATCTGGGGTTACGCGAACAAAAAAAGTTGAATACCACTGTGCTAGTCCAATGTTGTTCCAAACCAGAAGACCAACATCTACAATTCCAACACTCTCACGTAATGCTCTTCACAGCTAACTATATTCTCACCATTGTGAATTTGACATTTCGCCTTTGCATATAAGTGATATAATAAGACATAAAAATGAAATAAAACGTGAATTTCAGTACGAAACAAACGTATCGAAACTTCTGACAGAGCCTTAAAACACTGCATCTGTTTTTTTGTCATATGATTGCAAATCACTCAGATGATCATTCAACTGAATACAACATTTTTGCGCACGACTGTTCAAGTCTCAAATCTAAAAATTCGTGACGATGGTGAGTTATTTAAATAAAAAGTTCTTTGGATATTTCCCGTCGTCTAGTAAAATAATAAAATAGAACGACGTTTCGGAGATGGGGATCTATCTCCATCTTCAGGTACCTACTCTGTTGGGCCCAATAGATAGAGCTAATCCCTATCTCATGACAAAGCTACACTGAACCTGTCTCATTCGAAAGCAATCTAAACTAACTAACTAACTAACCAACTAACTAACCAACTAGCAGAAACCTCAGGTCCAACACCGACAACACCAAAGCCCGACACCGGACACGATCCTGAGCCAACTCCATCCATTTTACATCTAGTCTTTTTAAAGCAGTGAAGTAAACAATTTTAGTGGGCCGGTATTTTGCAAATAATGTCAAAAATCCCGCTTCTTTGCCAGTCATACTAAGAGCGTCCTCAGAAACTATTTTGAAAATATCTATTCAGAATCTGAAAACTCGTTCACGAGAGCACTACAATTTGTTTTCCACACAAAGCAGACAATTTGAAGAGTTCTTGACCAAATTCAGTACTTTCAAAAATCAAACTATGACAACCAATCGAACTGAAGATATGACGTCTGTACTTTCATCGACAAACGGAAAAACAGGTTCTAAAAATGTATGTCAATTTCAGTTCATTACGAACTTTTTCGCATTTCAGTGTGTTTCGACTGCTCATACGAGGCGCGTCCACAAAGTAAGTTTCCCACTCGTCCCACAGCTAGCAAACCTTATATTGCGCGAAGCGACTGTGCGTACGTGATAGAGCAATGACGTAGCATGGCGCATGCACTAACGGCACTTCCCGCGTTCTCACAGTAGCATCGTTGCAGCTGTTGAAGATGGAGGTTCTTATTCCAGCCCCCGCCGACTGTGAAGTGCGGTCAGGGATAACGCTAGGCCGCACACGGCTCAACGGACAGCGAGTCTCCTGCAGGAGTTCAGCTGGGAGGTGTTTAATCATTCACCCTACAGCCCGGACCTCGCTCCCAGTGATTTCCATCTTTTCCTACACCTCAAGAAATTCCTGTCCGGTCAGCGTCAGCGTTTTGAGAATGACAGAGAGGCGGAGATGGCTGTCACACAGTGGTTCCAATCCCAGGCGGCAGACTTCTACGACACAGGTATTCAAAAGTTGGTCCCACGGTATGACAAATGTCTCAATTCCGGTGGCGAATATGTTGAAAAATAGCTGGACACTTGCTGTATCTGTTGCAATAAATATTTACATGAAATTGTGTTTTGTTTCTGTAAACGGAACCAGGAAAACTTACTTTGAGGACGCGCCTCGTACATTAAAACAGAAAAGGCATAGCGTTTCCACATTTCTGTCGCTTGCTTTACAATTTTTCTTCTATCATCATTGAAATTCTCTACTTAATTTAATTAATTTTTTCTTTAACAAATATTCGCAGAACTCCGAAATGACCGTCCAAATCAGCCAAACGGTTTCTCGAGTTATATCATGCGGGCAGTGAGGCATTACCAGCAATATAAACATTAATTTCATGCAAATAACGCATAACAACTAGTAAATACTCAAAATAATGTCTCGACATAACACACGATGACGACAATTTTAGCCGAAATGCGTCAGAAGTGAGTTTCAAATAGACATAAATGTTAATAGTTTGTATGTAGCACAGCCAAAGCCAGTTTTGTATCTCGTAGTTATTCCGA